GCGGCCGGCGGTATCTCATGGTCACGTGCCGCAGGGTTTTTTTAGTTGGCAGGGCTCCACATTTGTTTGAAGAACAGAAAACTTTGAAAACTTTAGTCCTTCACTGTGTAATAAGTTAGAATTATATTTACGTTTCTTTGCGATGATTCCGTTTATATTATTTATATCCTCGATTTATTCCAACGTAATCACATCATCACTTGCCTGCGCCGCAAGCTCCGCTTTTTGGCGGTTTTCAAGAAATTCGCGCACGCCGCTGAGGACAGTGCGGCGAGCCCGCTTTGCGGGAAGCCCGCTGGCTGCAAGCTCTTGCTTCCGGGTCCGTCGAACGATTTTTAACACGGAATCGACGGACGGGAGGGCAATGTCGATTGGTAGGGCTGAGAGGATGGCCGAGACGACCTCTGACGTCGGGAGTTCCATCGTTTCGAGGGCCACCTCGCGGAACGTGGCTTTCAGGATGTCTTTGGCCATCTGAAAATCGGTTTAGAAATGGGCCTTTCGGGGCGAAAAGATAAAATAATGCAAAAAACGGCAAGAGTTTACTTTACCCCTCCCCCGCAACCGACGGGTCTCGAAGCTTTCGGTATTTTCGCAAATTTTGTCGGGATTTTAGCAACGCCATTCGATAGAGAGTCGAAAACTATATTTTTTCTAGAACAAAACAACAAATTTGAGAAAATGTTTTCGGGCGTGGTAAAAAAAGTTATGGACTACACCACGCTCCTGAAAATCGGCTCTAAAACCTTCTTGAGTTTCGTCAGCTAACAAGGATTTCTAAATTTCTAAGATCGTGAGAAAAAGTTTAAAAGACATACGCAAGCGAAACGCCGAGCGCACTGTGTGTATCACGGCAGCGGAAAAATCCGTAAAATTAGCATCAAACTTTTTTTGTGTTTTTGCGTGTACGTATTTCTGACTATGCGACGTTGCTTTAGACCGCTAGCCGTTTTGATGTCTACATCAACATTTCAAAATCTAATAACCCACCTTTTCCGTCGGGGGATCATGATTATGCCGTGGCTCCTGTCCAACCAGCTCATCCTGCTCATTGACAGCCAGCCTGGCGCCACACTTTGGATGCTGGCACTTCCAATACAGCTTTATCGGACCGCCGGTCTTTGGCGTGTAGATGCTGTTCCACACGAATTGATGCCCGTTCCAGATGGCCAAGCGGCCCGCGTAGGGGCTCTGAAAAATCATTTTAGGTTGTTTGGCAGCCAGGACTTGATTAAGATATTTAAAATATAGCTATTTCATTCCATACCTTTGCAGTAATAGTTCTGCTACTCCGGATATACGTCACCTTCGCGGGGACTTGAGCCTGATCCGCTTCCCCGTTACCCAGAGAAGTCTCGGGCCCATCTTCAATTTTTACTTCGTGATTCGGATACGAAAGCTGCAATCCCGCATCCGACGTGCCGGGAAATTGCTCAATTTCCACGTTGGAATACGACGGAAGGGATTCGTGTTGAAAGCTATCGTAATCAGATGAGGAAACTTCGGTTTTTACGCCAGGAAACAACGGGGTGGCTTTGGTTTCAAAGGTATCATAATTAGCCGCCGGCTCCTCTATTGCTAGACCAGCGTCGAACGGAACCCAATGGTTTAAATTATCGAAATCCGGTGTAGGGAATTCATTCTTGACGTTAGAAATTGCAGGAATAACTTCGTTTCTCACTTGGTCAGCACTTTCGTGCTTCATTCTGTTAGGTGTGGCCATCTGAAAAACAAAGCGTATATAGAAAAAACTCCACAAAATGTCAGATTATTAAAGGTGAGGGGGAAATGAAGAAAATGGAACAAATGATATATGGAGAAAAAGAAAACGAGGAAAAGAATTTTTTAAGGATGAATTTTTTACATATAAATAGCGAAAGTGTTTCTAAACTGTTTTTTTCCTATCCCTAAACGTAAAACTTTATAAAATTTTACCAAAAATACGAACAATAGATCGGTTGTCTACAAAAAATGGCAGTTTTTGACCAGAATTTCGGCTTTTTGAAAAATTTGTCAACGTTTTTAGATCGTTTTTAATGAAAATATATATTTTTATTATAGTCAAAGCATTACGAAAATGTTCTTATTAAGTTATTAGGCCTTTCTACATCAACAACAAAAATTTGTGAACAAAATCTAAATATTTAGGTAAAGGATTTACACGAAGAAATTGGCAAATCTCGGAAAACCAGGAAAAATCGTCGAATAAATCAATGTTCGTATTCGAGGGATGGAGGGATGAGTGAGAGGGTGACGCTTTTAGGAGAAATGGCGCGTTGCGGTCCCGGGAAAATCGATTGGTGGGGGGAGAGGGCGCCAACCAGCCGGCCCCGACTGACGGGATGAGTTGTAGGAATAATGACTTTACGTGATGACTAGCCGCCTTTGACGTCTTTTCTTGAAGTCATCCTTTCTAGAAATTAATATGAAAATGGATTCTCACATACATAGAACCCTATAAATAAGAATATCAATTTCTTCGAAAATTCTCTAAAAAAATTTATTTAGCAGTCACAGCATTTTTTTCACAAGTAATTATCCGACAAAATGTGGCCGCTGAAAAGAGATGCTGCTATTTAGAAATTCTGAGATTTAGAGATTCTGGCACTCAGGGATTCTGAAATTTAGCGCTTCTACTATTTAGAGACTGAATTTAGACATTTTTCTCCCCGTATAGCAAAAACGATCGAAAACGTACTCAAAAACTAACAAGTTATCGTAATAGATTCGAGATTTATTTTTAAACTTAAGTTAGGTGTTCATAAAAAGGGACGACTATACTGACCCTCTCCCCCACAGCCGAAGGGTCTCAAAGTTTTCGGTAATTTTTACTTAATTTGTCGGGATTTTTGCAACGCAATTTGATAGAGCGTCGAAAAATATACCAAGAATTTTAATTTCAGCCTAGAATAATGTAAAATAAAAAAGTTATAGCCATTCTATTCCGACTGGGGGGGTGGGGGTAAGGTAGTGTAGCCATAAAAAGAATAACCACAGAGACATGGATCCCCTCCGGGTGGCACCGGGAAATCGTTCTCGGGTGGCGCCCCGGCCTCGGCCGGCAGGCGGCCATCTGGCAGAAACCCGGCCCATCCGCGAAACCCGGCACCGGGTTGCCGGCACATGCCGGTCTCGATGCTTTGCCAGGTCTTGCCTGATCGCGGTTATCGCCGGATTGCCGTGCTTGCCAATATAATGCTTCCGCTTCCGCTGCGTTGAACGTGGCGAGCCTGAATCTTGTGCCAATATACTGTGCTTCTTGTCTTTAATTCGTTTATCACTTACTTTTCGAGCACGAGACTTGGCAGTGACGTTCCAGCAACCGAACTGTAAACTTGCATTGTTTACCTTTTCAGCGTTAATGAGTTTTAAACCCATTAAACCTAACTTAATAGTAAACTACTTTTAAAACCACGGTGCTTGGATACGAGAAGCAGGCGAGTTTTCTCACTACAGGGTTTATCTAGAAACAAACGGTTAGATTTTACTAAACTTTCTTGTTTCCGAGCTACTTCGTCACATTGGCGAAGCATATCGTAAAGTGTGGCTGGTTATTATAGCCCAAAACTTCCTAAAAGGCTAATGAAACTGAATACCTGGCTCGTCTGCAGTCCTACTTGACATACAGGCACATTGAACGGAGGGGGTCGTAACTTTATCTGAAAACTTCCGTTAATTTGGCGAGAAATCAAAGGTTTTGCCATATATCAAATCTAAAAACTCTAGTACCCTTTCACAGACTGCGTTCTAAAACATCAAACGTTTTTATAAGCTGGATACTTACCTCTTGTTGAAGAACTGTAAAAATCTAAATTTATGAAAGAAGAAACTGAACGCGCAAAGAAAACCGGGAAAAGCCGAGAAATTCGAAAGTTGGGGTAGGGCTACGAATAAATACATGTTTACACCGGCAAGAATCCGGCAGTATCCCGGCAGCCGGCAGAAAGCCGGCAGGATTGCGGCAGACCCGGCAGCGAGCCGGCAAGAACCCGGCCGCCGGCTTTTTGCCAGGTCGAGCAGCCGGCAGCCGGGATTCTGCCAGAGGTCCCGGCAAAAATCCGGCAGAAAACCGGCAAGATCCCGGCTGCCAGCCGGCAGAGCCATTTTTCCCGGCTGCCATCCGGCAGAAACCCGGCAGCCATTTCACTGTGACTTTAGCAGGAAAATAGGTTATGGAAGATGGAGTTCAGGAATTGTGGGGCGAATTAGTCATGGAGGCGTGGCCGCTTTACCACCCATATTTCATTACTCATAAATCTCATGACTCATAAGCGTTGTCATGACCACGTGTTTTGCACACAAACGCCGTGAGTCATAAAACCATTACTCATAAACGCTGTCCCAATAATACGGAATTTGGGATTAAATAGGTTATGTTTACTGGCGAAGAAGCTTATAAATTCTGAATTTTTTAGAATTATTCCAGCGATGATTATTATTTTATGAATTTTGACGCACTCGCAGCGCGTGATGATTTCGAAACTCGGCCCCCTTTCATCCCTTAAATTAGAATCCCCGAAAGAGTATCATGATTAAATGCAACATAATAAAGCCACTATTTATTAAATTACCAGCGCCGAAAACCCGCTTCGCGGGCCTTGGGCGCTGGAATGCGGCCCTTGCATGAGAAATTGACTTTCCGATAGCTTGGGTCCTTCGGACCCCCCCCGACCACACACGCGAGTGCAACTGGCAAGAATGAGGAAATTTGTATTTTTCCGCATTATGCAAATTAGCCCTCAGGGACCCCCAAAAATGAATAAAACCGGCTTTAACTTTGTAAACTGGTATTTTATCGTAATTCTGAGAACGCCATCGGAAACAGGAGGGTCGATTCCCCCTGGTGGCGAAGAATTGGGGCGTTTTGGGCACGGCCAGGCCCTCAAATCGGGCCTCGAAACTGACATCCACACACACACACACACAAAGATACACGCCAAAATTATATAAGGTAGGATTTTATTAAATCAACGATTTGTGTATGTTAACTGCAAAATTTAAGGACATAGGTCGAGCTCATTGCAGACGACATCAGGCTGCGTTCCACCCTCAATCAGATCGATGATGCGCTTCATCTGGGTCTGCACCAGCATCTCGCACATCTCAAGCTCCGAGGGATGACGGGCGAACATTTGATCGCAAAGGGCGTTTAGCGCATCAGGGATTGAGGCCTAAAATGATGGTCTAGTTTTTTAGTTTTCCGGTATTCATCACAAGCCTGATATCTAAAAAAGATGATGTTTCGTTTAACATCGAAATTTTTTCGGGGTCAATTTTGACCGGCCACGGACGTTCGATTTGCAAAAAAGAAAATTGATACAACAAATCGCTAATTTGATTAGCCAGCGGGAGGTCGAGCGGACAAAACCGTAAAGCGAGTGCACCGCGTACTCGGGGGCTGTCTGGCCTTGGATTAGAACACAGGGCGGTAGAGATTCTAGTTTTTCAGTCGATATCGGTTTTTGAAAATCTGATACGCTAATTAGTAGAAAAACGAGTAAAGACCCCCTACTAAGGAGCAGGGCGTAAGAAAAAATTTCGGCCCAAAAATTTTTCGAAAAACTCAGAAAATTAACGAGAAAACAGCGCCGCAGGCGAAAAATTTTGGCAATAGGCTATATAGCTCTATAAATAGCAGTAAAAACTTGAAAAAATAGCGCCGCAGGCAACAAAATTTTTGAGAAAATAAAAATCGTAAGGGTCCCCCTTATGAAATTTTCGGGCCCCGGCAGATTTCGGGGGGCGGGGGGGGGGGGCCTGTATACTGTCCTTAAGGGCATTTGAAAGGCATAAGAAAGTCTTGACCGCCCCCTGGTAATGGCTCGTTCTTTCATAGTAGCCTCAAATTAGGAAAACTTAAAGTGATAAAGATGGTTCAGAAATTCCCAATGTTGCTCTTTCTCACTCACCTCGTGCGTCTTGATATACTCGTACAGCTCGGAGAACAGCATTTGACAAACGCCGCACATGGCCCCGTTTGGCTGGAGCTCGAGTTTGTAGTGCACCTCCTGCTCGACCTCGCCTTCCAGGATATCCTAAAATATGGAGGTGAAAATTAATAGCTTTGTATATTACCATGGCTTGGTCGCTCTCATCGACAAGGAGATCGTGTGGTTTGACAACCTTTTTCATGCCGTAGTCCAGCTTCGGGTTCTGGGCCATGGCCAGAGCGATGAGGAAGGCAACAGCTGAAAAAAAATAAGAAGGTACATTTCTTTGAAAAAATCAGGCGATGCGTCTAACCGTAAAGTTTTTCAAGGAGTCTGATAGCGGCCTACATAGCAAATTGTGGACTCGAAAAAAGCTTGATTGGTTAATCAATTCTGGCATCAAGAAGGCTTTTTAACGCGTTTTTAACTAATCACCAAACCTACGGGTTACTGTAACTTACCAACAAGTAGCTTGTACATTCTAAAATCGATGGAACAGCAGAAAATCCCTAAAACAAATGGATTTGCGTCTAGCCCCGAATAATCCGATCAGATGTTCACGTTGGCTTGGGGGGGGATGAGCTCTGGGATTGGCGTTGACGAGGAAGGGGGAAGAAAATGGATCTTGCTGGGATTGGTTGACCCGTTTTTGGGTGAAAAACCGGACCAAGCAAAGGGAGAGAGGCTACGAGGGACACCGTTTTTCCACTTCTCTCGGCCCTGACCACGCACTAATGGGCTTCGAAATTAGGTAAAGTGCCCTGGACAAGGTCAGCGATTACTTGGTAGTGTTTTGGTGATCAAAAAACTGCCATTTTTGACGAAAACGCTGGGATTTTTGGCACGGCTATAGGTTCAGTAGATTTCGCGGAAAAGCGCAACGCGCGCCACTTCGCAGCGATTCGCGGGTTTAATTACCCAAGTTTGAGGTGTCCGCTGCCGCCGTGCCCGCCGACACCCGCCAACCGCCTGCCGCCCGCTTCAAACTACAAGTCAACCGTCCCTCGCAAAACGACCGCATCGACCACTCTCAAGTCAACCCAGGAGAAGCAGCAGGGAAAACTCGAAATTCAGGTCAATTAATTGTTCTTCTCTTTCCCTCTTTCTGTTTTCGTTTGCAATCATGTCTTATTTCTTTCCTACAAATCCCCCAAGTTTCCCTGCCCAAAATTTCCCGAATAATGTTCCTTGTACACCCCCGCCCCATATCAAGAACTGCCACCCGTTGATGATGCCACCGAATCCGCCACCAAAATGGAATCAGCCCTGGAAAGATGACGCCTGGCTGCGAAAACCTTCACGGACGATTATATGCTCGTCTAAGCGGTTTGTCGGAGGTACAGCCAGACCCTCGTCTTCGCCGGTCGATCGCCGCCACTCGATCGGCTGCAAATCGAGCACGTTTTTGCTTTGCTAGGATTAGACACGGATATTGTCTATGCTATCGAATGGGAGTTTTCGATTTTTCAAAACCGCGGCCCCTGAAGCTCATCGTCTCCTCTAGGCATATGGTGTCGAACGCAGTTGCGACGTTTCGCAGAACTCCAGCGAACAAGCTGCCTTACGCAGCTCGCGGCCTACAAGTCCGTAAATCTGATCCATCACGCTTCAGCCCCGGCCGTCCCAACGCAGAGCCGACGAAAGAAATCGCCGCTTCTACCCAATATGATGAGGAAATCATGCAAATCGACCCGGAAACTTCCACTCTGCCTAACCAACCGCTCACTCAGGTTAGGCTCCGCCCTGCGGTTAATAGGAAGCCAAATCGAAAGTTCGGACACAGGGTGGCTTCACAAGCTGGCAAAGGCCCTCTCCAAACGAAGAGGAAGGCCAATGCCGCCGACGGCCACAGCAACTTCACAAAATTAGCAAAACGATAGATGACGACGGATCGTCTGATCGCGCGGACATTTTGCCGGGATACGATCCGAAGGATGCGAAAGGCAGCACCTCGTCCCTTGCTAGCGATTCCTCTGCCGCCCGGTCATTGTCAAACCCTCTCCGCGCCCCCATACCCGGTCCCAGTCCTCTTCGCAGCCCTAACATTTCCCCCACCTTGACAATCTTTTCGCTAAACTCCCGTTCCATTAAAACTAAACTAGTCGAACACGAAACGCTCCTAGCAGAAAACCTTTATGACATGATTTTTACCAAGAAACTTGGCTTTCCGAGACTGTGCCCGATAATCTACTTCTGGACCCGTAGGAGCATATAAGGTTTTTCGCGCCGATAGGCAAGATAGAACAGGAGGTGGCGTTTGCATTTTAGTTAGATCCCACATTCCTACAAAAATAATTCTTTCGACTTCTTCTTACGGAAGCGAAATCTTAATTCTCGATATATTTCTAAATTTTCAACAACTCCGCTTTATCAACCTTTATAGGCCGCCGCAAGTTACGTTTGAGGGCACTAAGTTGTTGCTGTCAAGTCTAGATGGTCATGTTGCCGCTGCCGAACATGTCTTATTGGTCGGCGATTTGAACTTTTCAATCTTTCCAGGCATCGTCCCGACGTTCGGCGACAAAGGGCTCCCCTTTTGCACGAGTTTACCGTAGAATTAGGCCTAACGTTAGTCTCAAATTTTGCCACATACCCACAAACCGGAAAATGCTAGACGTGGCTATTTCGTCGCCCGGCCTTGTCACATCTTGTTCTCCCCACGCGCCTTTCGCCAAATGCGATCATCTAAGCATGGTCATTAAAGTAGATTGCGTAGTGTCAAAAGTAACTTTCAACCGTCCGGCCTAGACTTTACGAAAGCCGATTTTGAAAACATAAATTGCGAAATCTACCACGCTGACTGGTCATTTTTGTCAAACCAGGCGCTAGGCCTGCAATCAAAGTACGACCAAATCATCCATAAACTAGGACAGATCTGTTCGAAATTTGTGCCCAAAAAAGGTTTTAGAGCTCCCTCTAGGATACCCGAACACATAATCCGCTCGGCAAACCGGAAAGAAACCTTTTGGAAACGCTTTACAAGAGGCGAAGCATCTTTCGACGAATACCTTGCTAGTTCAAAGCAACACAAGCGAAATTGTAGCAAATTTCTCTCAAATTTTGAGCGTCGCGTCTTCTCCTCCGGAAATCCAAGGCGTATCTTTCCTATCTTAACTCCAGGCCCAAAAAACCTCCCGCCTCGGCTCTTGTAAACCCTACAGGCATGTTAGTAACCTCTGCCGAACAAATTCCTGAAATTTTAGCGCTAAATTTCTCAAAGGTCTACACAAACGCCGGTGTAGACCACTCCTCGACTAGATCCCTCTCTTTAGTTGCACCAAATTCTACTTTTCCAGCCTTTCTGTTAACCCCGATCGATGTGAAACGCTTTCAAATTATTGGAGCCAAAACTGCACTGGACGCCTGAGAACCTGCCAGCCTTTTTCCTAAAAACTGCTCTCAGACACTTTCCAAAATTCTATGCCACTTTTTCAACTTTTCGCTTCTTTCGGGACAGATCCCCGACCAATGGAAAGTATCGCAAATCTTCCCATTGTTCAAATCAGGGGACGAAACCTCGCCCGGAAACTACCGCCCGTTGCCCTGACCTCCTCCATTTGCAAACTAATGGAAGTAGCTTTAAAACGAAAATCGTGGCGCGTCTTGAGCTAAATAATTTCTTTTCGCCAGCCCAATTCGGCTTTAGAAAGTTTCATTCCACGACCACGCAGCTTTTGCAAATGTTTCACAAAATCACTGAGAAAATCGACGCCGACGAGGACCCTATCACGATTTATTTTGATCTAGCCAAAGCTTTTGACAAAGTTTCCCACGCACTTTTAATCCACTAAGCTTTCTCATATAGGTTTCCCGCAGATATTGGTTACTTGGATTGAAGCCTATTTGACAAATCGATCTTTCTATGTGAAAATAGGTGATCAAAGTCAAACGCCCACCCACAACCCTCAGGAGTCCCTCAAGGTAGCGTAGGCCCACACTTTTCTCATCTATATAAACGATCTTCCTTCCCTTCTAACGAACAGTAGCCTAATTTTTTGCTGATGACTTAAAAATTTACGCCGGCGTGCCACGCAACCCCACGCTGGCTGATCCTGCTTTTAGAGCCCTCCAGGCAGATATAAATGCGGTCAAAGCTGGTGTGTTGAAATGAAATGTCGCTTTCAACCTCCAAAACTTTTATCCTAACGAACATTCCCCGGCACGTTTCCAAGATCTCTACGTAGACAATACCCGGATACCAAGGACAAATGTGATTAAGGACCTAGGGATCACTTACAATCAGAAATTTAACTTTGAACCGCATATCGCCGTATCCGATTAAAAGCCGCTCGTATATCCTTCCTTCTTATCAAAAGAATTCAAATTCCAAATGCGATCACGTACCGGCGTGCTTTAGTACTTTAGTTAGGCCGATTTTGGAGTACGCTTCCGAGGTCTGGAACCCAACCAAAAAGCGAAACATCAATGAACTTGAAAGTGTCCAACGTAAATTTACTTTCTTTGCCTATAAGAAATTGTTCCCAAATGAGCCTATACCCTGTTACCCAGATAGACTAAAATTCTTTTCACTTCCCACTCTAGCGCACCGTAGAACAGAAGCGGATTTAGTTACATTTTATAAGTCTTTTTGTAGAAACTTTTCCCTTCAAATTTTTGGAATGCACAAATCGTCCGATAAGGAATGCCCATGCTTTTCAAGTGAAGAGAATCCATAGTAAGCAAGGTTTCCCCGTTCTTTCTTCTCGCGTAGAGTTGCGAAAACCTGGAATAAGCTCCCGCCTAGGGTCTTCAAAGAAGGTCAATTGGGAAATGCAAAGAGCTTTCGTGTAACTTTAGAAAAAATGGACCTGTCCCAATTTCTGTGATCTTTTCTTCCCCCCCCCGTTTGTTTCCGCATGTTATACAACCTCTGAACCATTGGCACCACACATTGCCCATTCCCCACTCTTATTCAACTACTGAATAAAGTATATATATATAAGATTAAGGGCTCGTAATCTATTAAGCGAGGCAAAGCGGACCCTGTGCGTTACTTGTCGCGCTTCCAAATAACGGAGCGTAATCGATTACGCTATGGAAACACGAGCTCAAGCGTTGCGTGTCGCGTAACGGCTAACAAGGGAAGGTTGTTTGGGTCATTTGTCAAATCTTTATGAAAATTTGCCAGTTGATAGAAAATTGAAAACGGAACAAGGTGCGCTAAGTCGTTTTCTACACAATACCCCTAATTAAAAAGTTATAAGCATTTTAAGCTTGTGATCTAAAAAATGAGTTCTTCAGGCGCTTTTGCACCAGTACCGCACCGTTGCCACATTTTGTTCATGGGTGGTTTCTTGACCCTCTCCCGTCTCCACTCCCCACGTCTCTTGTAGCACAATCTTTTGAAAAAATTTTGGCGAAAGTTCGAGACTAAAACTTTTTTACCTTTTTTGCTCTTGCCAATTAGGGTTAGTTGGGGTAAAATCCAAAAAGCAAAAAGTTCGACGCATCAAAAACCTGAACTCGATTACAAAAAATTAAAAAGTTTCGCACTCTACGGCACTGCCTACTGCGCCAAACAGCTTTCCAGGGGGGCGATGCAAGAGCTTGAAAAGGGGCGGGGGCACAATGAGGACCAGGTCAGAATTGTCGGGTCCTTTCGTGCTTCTGAGGTCCAATACAAATTCCAAGGAATTCCATAAACATACTTTATCAAAAATGTCATCGCCACAAAGCAACACAAAACCGAAACTCGCCACAAATCACAAAAATCGGGGGACAAGACAGAATCTCTTCGTTACAATCACAAACGGCCTTAAGCGATGTTGGATAGATACTTTAAAACAAAAAGAAAAAAAATAGAGGAAATTAAAGGCGGGGACCTAGTAAGCGAGAAAAAGACGGCGGCAAAAACCAGGATCTATCGTTCTTCGGACATCGATTGGCCATCTTCTGGGTGCTGATGCGTCTGTTGGCTTGGCTCATCGGGCGTCACCGATGGTTGAATTTCGGTGGCGTATTGGGTCTGAAAGGTGTCACTTCTTAAGCATAGAAAGTTTAAAAAAACTACATTTTATTAATTTTTTTGGATTTTAGTCGAAATTGGTGAAAATGACCTACGATTGTATACAGCTTTTAAAAATCTCTATATGATTTTTGACAATCAGGAACTAACAAAAGCCATAGAAAATATCACATAAAACGCTTAAGAGTTTTGCCACCACCCCATCTCCCCGCTAACAGCCCAGTACCCATTAAGCGAGTATGAAAAGTGGAAGCCATTCTCAAATGAACTCTGCTAGCTTTCTTAATTTGGGTCTCCTCAACTACCTCGCTGATCATCGGGCTGATCGTCTCCTCGAGAGGCAGCGACGGGTAACCGGACGCCGTCGGCTCGGTAATGGAATGGCGAGACTGGAATAGGGATTTTTAATTTTTGAGTTTTTTAATTTTAGGCAATACGGAAATTCATCTGAAGTTACGGATAAAGCAAGCCCTTCGACGGGGTTGAAGCTCTTACACGTACCTTGGTAGATTTTCGGCTTGCACTCGGATCGGTGGTTGGCGCCATGGTACCAGTGATCTGAAAACGTCAATATTTTTTCATTTGGCGGCAAAATGGATAGGTAATCGCATTGAGTGTTGTGCGGCGTGTTTCGTTGTGTCGTGAGCGTGCAAAAAACGTACAGCAGTTGTGTGCCGAGTCAACGTCGTCGGTGTAGCCGTCGTGGGGGTGAGCGTAGTTCCGGTGGCGCTGCTCATCTAAAGCCAGGAGAACCATGCGGTTTCGTAGCTAAAAACTACCGTCGGCCTTCTCTCCTGTGACTGGCTGCCACTACTTCCGCTGTGTAGTGAGCGGGAGAGGCTGAGGGTCAGCGAGGAGCTTCCTGAAAAAGAAGTTAAGAAAATCCAAGCTGAAGGAGACTTACTAGACTCTATTGACTTCAACAACTTTTTGCCCTGCTTCTTGAGCTTCGGGTACTAAAATCAGGAATCATACGTCAAATTTGTCAAGGTTACCAGATTCCGACGGATGAATACCGGGACGACCATGAGAAGCGGATTGCCGAGCGGATCGTTTTCATAGTCTGAAAAAGTAAAATAGCGAGAGAGAGGGAGAGGGAGAGAGAGAACGAGAGAGAACGAGAGAGAACGAGAACGGGAACAACGAACCAATCAATTTCCTCGAGCCCGAGAAGGCGAACGGCAGCGGCCTGCCACTGCTGCTGCTCCTGCTGCGCATCACCCAGGCCCGCTCCAGGTCGTCGAGCGCCTCCTGGCGTACTTCCCTAAAAGTTGATTAGCGTATTTCAAACTAAAGTGAGCACCAGCTAGCAGAAATCATTTGAACACCTTTCTCCAGCTCTCCAAAACCCACTCTTCATCCCGCCAATTGATCAACACCCCACTGCCCGGCTCGCCGAGGTACCAGGCTCCTAAAAAGGGAAATTTCCATAATTTGAGGTAAGCCTAAATTGTTACACTATCCCAAAAAAACTTCAAAAATTACCAGTCATTCCAAGGACTTGGAAAAAGCTGTAGATGATGCCGAGGAGCACGACCAGATATCGTCGATGGGAGATGGCGTCCCAGTAGTACCGCCGGTTGAACGGGAATTGGGCCTAAAATGGGCCTTTTACAATGGTTTTATTGTTCACCTGATAACAAATTTAGTAGCTTACCAAAAATGAAAATAAATTGAATTGAAATTTATTTTAATTTTTAATTTATTTAAATTGAAAAACGAACGTCTTCCGGCCGATCATAATCCCCAATGTACATGCATGTCCACCATCCGGGCAACGTCTCGTTGAGCTGGGAGCGGGGCGGACACTTGGCGATGCAGTGCTAAATTTCTCCTTCAAAAACTTAAGGTTATGGTACCCCATCCAGATCCATCGCCCTCTGGCAAGCTTTGCAAACGCTGGACCCTTCGCCCGTGCAGCCGCCCTTGCATTCCGGGTGGCACGGTAAGCAGGTGTTGTTCGCGTCGAGGTAGTGGAGTCTGAAAAAGCCATTTGAAGCTAGAGAACATTCAAAAAAAATACGTTACGTCGATTTCGTCGCGCTCCATTACCTAATCCTAGATCCCGAGTCAAAAAGCAAAAAGTCTGATGAGAGTGGGATTCGAACCCACGCCTCCGGAGAGACTGGTGCCTTAAACCAGCGCCTTAGACCACTCGGCCATCTCACCATGGGAGAGGGGCGCCCGGGTGGCCTTATCTCGCCAGTGGGAGGCGGGGCGGGGGCACCGCAAAGGGCGGGTCGGGGTTTTTGCGACCGGAAATTGACAGCCATCCCATTATTGCGTCGGGTTGTGGTTTTTTGGTCGAAATTGGATAGCAAAAAAATATTGATTTTTTCAGGTTTCAGGAAGTGAGAACGAGGTCCATAAATCGTAAACCATACCCAGAAACATGGAACTGAAACTAATGAGAGAAAATTTCGACTTCGAATTCGATTTTAAATTAAGTGGCAAAAACCCTACTACAAACTAACTACAAACGATACCTCAAATCACAAAAATGCTCTGGCCGGAAGAGCTCGAGGCAAATCTGGCGATCCTCCGCGTCCGGATCGTTCGGGTCGTCCGGGTATTGATAGGGTATGTTGGGCGGGGTTCGCTTGGCCCCTGGCCGCTAAATTAACCTTTTAAAAGGCCGTTGAAGACGCGCAAACCCATTCACAGCGTCTACACTTCGACGGGTGCGTACACTGGATGCAGACGTTCAGGTCGACATCGAGGAACGAGCCGCTGAAATTAGGATAAAAAAATAGCGAAGTGCGACCAACTCTGGGCACTCGCTCACGCAGTAGCCGTGCATGTTTTTCGCATTGCCCGCCACGCAGTCTGGACAAGGCTGCAAATTTGAAATCTTGACTTTCGGGCCATCATCATCCTATTAAAAAGGCTGAAAACGTACACTAAGGAAAGTCCTGGCGGTACAGTTTTGCATGCAGTTGGGGATGTTGCAAAACTCCGGGTACAGTAGCCGGGGGTCGCTCATACCTCTGAAAAAGATTGAAAAATGATTTATTTTTGCCTTTCTCTCTCTCACTCTGTCCCTCTCTCGCTCCCCATCTCTCTCCATCTCTTACCTGGCAAAATGTCTGAGAACTTCCGCCGTATTGCCGAAAGATGCCGAGCGGACGAAGCCGAGTCTCGTCAATTGGAAAATCTTCCCACTACGCCCAGTCGGACAGAAGGCCTAGAATTTGCAGTTTGTAGCTTGTGATCTGGTACAATTTTGGAGTCTTGCTCAATTTGCGGCATGCCAGAGCGGCAGCTGAGGCAGTGGTAGTTTGATGGGCCATCTAGAAAGAAAGGTATAGCTGGCGAGTTCCCAAACAATCGCTGCTGGCTGTCCACCTAAAAACCCCTGAAATACCCACAACATTTTGTACAGCTCGGATCGCAGGGGCGGCAATGCAAGGGTTGAACGTTGTGCGGGTAGTAGCCGTCGCTAAAATCGAAATTTATGATATTTTTTGCGTAACTTACGGGCACATGTAGTAGCACTGTTGGTACCTCTGCTTCCACAATCCGTCGTACAGGCTGTACAGGCCGCTCGAGCAGCGCAGGCAGCCGATTCTGAAAGTAATGGAAGTTCATAAAAATTTTTCTGGCTGTCGACCCATCACAACGACGGCACCAAGGAGGGCAGTTCAAGCATTTGTACGTCGTGTAGTCGAGGTAAGTGCCGCTAAAAATACTTGTATTAAATTTATTAAAGGTGCTAGAAAGCATGAAAATCGACCCATTTCATCAACTAGATTACGCCACTACGCGACGCTCCTAATGACACTTAGAATCTATTGAAACTTTGCTCCAAAATGTTGATGTTTGCGATCAAAAATAGATCAAACGTCTTGACGTCGTTGTTAAGATTTTCGAGATCTGGTCGAGATTAGCTTTGATTTTGTGGCTTCCCAGTGTCTTGAAGTTTCCCTTACTGTGGGCACAGCAACACGCAACGTCGCCGGAAGCGGCTGATCACCAGCAATCGTCCCCGATCGCATTCCAGACAGTGGCCCGTCACCTACAAATTCCGCATCATCAACGCAGTAGGTGTTTCATAACGTATGCGACGTATCAAGTACGTACGTAAGTATGTACGTAACGTGCGCCACACTTCGTGCGATATAGCTAAACCCCACATCCTCACACCGCTTGCACCCGATCCCCGGACAGTTCCGACAGCGGGTCGACGATTTGAAGTATCGCCCCTTGCAGCGCTGGTCGATAGCCTCGCAAATCTCGGAGTCGATCGACGGCTCGAAGCCCGGGGCGCAGACTTCGCATTTCTGGAGCCGTAAGTGGATGGAGAAGGCTGATCACTACTGACCTCGTTTCTACATCGGATGCAATTCGGTGGACAGGGCAGTGGGCATTGGTGAGAGATCAGGCTACGTCGAGTGCCGCTGAATACACATTTGATTTCCCGCTGGTCTCTATCCCTTTAAAAATCAGAATGGCTTAAAGGCTCGGAAAGCGATGTGGAATGGCGCTGAAAAAAAGCTCTTTTAACGCTACCTCGGACAGTACTGCGGAACCGGGAGCGCCATTCCTCGGGCCCACGCGGCGTCGCCGGTGCCTTTTAGATTGAAGCGCAGCCGGCACCGGGGTAGCATCCCATGACCGAATCTAGAACTTAAAGATATCGACGTGCTCCCTACAAACACACCTCAGGTCAAAGCCGGCCTCGCACTCTTCGCATCCCTTCGGCTGGTACACCGCACAGTGGTCGGTCGGCTCTGCGAAAACCTCGGGTATCCACGTCTGAAAATGACCTTTCACGTAGTTAGTTATATCTACTTTTGGTTCTGGACTGTTAGCGGCGGGGGGCTTAAGCAGGCGGGCTAAAGTCTAGTTTACCCCCCCCCCACCCCCCAGCCGTAACTTTTCAACCATGCGCCCTATTACTGCGCCGAGTATCTCAAAATGTTCGCCGTGGTCGAGTTACTATAGCCATGTTGTTTCCTTACATAAAAAATTGTTAGAAAAATTTTTATAACAATTATAAATCTGGGTTTTCTTTAGTTAATTTTTGCTGTTCCAAAGTGAGTTTTCGTATCTCGGCTATCTTTTGTCCTACTGAGCTGTCAATAGTACCAAAATGTAGCTCTTGCTCTGGAGAATAAGCCTACAATGCATTTGAGTCGAAAATAATAGCGGAAAATCAAAATATTTGAGTTTTAGGCTCCTGATACATCGAAGCATGACGGCTTAATCTTTTCAACTTTCAAAATCTTGTAAAAATTTTGCTAACAATTTTTGATGTAAGAAAACAACTTGGCTATAGTAACTCGACCACGGCGAACATTTTGAGATACTCGGCGCATTAATAGGACGCATGGCTGAAAAGTTAGGGCTGGGGGGTAAACTAGACTCTTACCAGCAGGCGAAACCGCTTTTCGCTTAGTGGTTTTCGATTGCTAAACGTTATCATTTTTGAACAAAAAGCCCTAAATGTTCGAAAATTTGTGTTGTTTCTATAATCTAAAAACTCTGTAAGGTAATAGTTTACTTTACCCCACCCCCCCCCCCCACAGCCGAAGGGCCTCAAAGTTTTTGGTATTTTAGCTTATTTTGTCGGAATTTTTGCAACACCATTCGATAGAGCGTCGAAAAATATACTAAGAGTTTTAATTTGAGCCTACAATCATGTAAAATAAAAAGTTATAGCGAAAACGGTTCTGTTCTATTTCGCGTGGGGGAAAAAACTGTGCGGGGGGAAATATGCTTCGCGGAACCTTCCATCTTTTCGCTATTTTCTCGGGATTTTTGCAACTCCATTCGATAGAGCATCAAAAAATATACTAACAGTTTTTATTTTAGCTAAAAATATTGTAATATAAAAAAGTTATAGCAAAAACAAAAAACTATTGAAAATGGTTCCGGAATGCTATTTTTCGGCATTTTCGCCAGTTTTTCGATATTTTAAACCCGTAATTCGATAGAGCATCAAAAAATATACTAAGAGTTTTAATTTTATCTAAAAATATTGTTTTATAAAATAGTTATAGCAAAAAGAAGGTTTATTCGGTGTTTCCACATGGGATCGTGGAGTCGAAAGCTAGTTTTCGACATTTTCGATATTTTTCAAAAATTCCTTTAATGTCATTCGATAGAGCGTCAAAAAATATACTAAGAGTTTTAATTACAATTCAAAATAGCATTCATATAAAAGAGTTAGAAAAAAAAACGACGAAAATTTCCCCCCCGCACAGTTTTTTCCCCCACGCGAAATAGAACAGAACCGCGAAAACATTCCGGCTTGGGGGGATAAAGTAAACCATAGCCCTCTGTAAAATGCTATAAAAATAGAGAAGCACAGGGAAAAGAGAATCAGAATCAAGGAGAAAATTTTTGTTGCGCCGCAAACCCCACCCCCCGCAAAAACTCAAAGAACCAAAAATTTGGTCAACGTTATTCAAATTAGAAAAACAGTTGATACTCAGCTCATACCTCCAGCTCAAAGTTCAAGTCCTTGCACTGCCACTGGTCTAGTTGTTGATAGTTGGAATCGGCCCGGGCGCTCTCCAGGATCATCGTCACGCGGTATGGAAAGTAGTACGAACTGGAACATTTAAAAATTCAGCAAAACATTGGAGCACCCACTCAAACTCAAAATTCGGGGTCTTTAGCTGCCATTTGGTGCAGGGTTGTAGTGAGCCGTCATGTTCGCTACTAAAAATACGAAAATAAGTGGAAAACTTGGGCCCAACTAATCGACGATCGGCGGCGCGATGAGGTGTCGAGGGATTGATAGATGAGGCGCCGTCTGGAAAGCGATATATTGATTGCGCTAATGGCGATAGGATTTGTCGTTGCACTCGCGCTGCGTGTTGCGTTGCGGATCCCGTAGCGTAGAGCATAGCGCTCGTGGCTAATCACGCGCTACGCGTCGAGCCGTCCTCCGCGTTGCTTGGACGGCGCGTTCCGCGGCGCGTCGCTCGTCGCGTTGCCCGCAGCAGTTTCCGGAGCCAAGCGTTGCCTGCCGGTGCGTCTGTCATTGCGCCTCCCGCTCCGCCACGCATCGTGTGACGCGAGCGCCCAACGTCACGCGTTGCTTGTGCCGTCTAGTAGCCTCCCGGAAGTTTACACAATGGTCGATTTTTATTTTTAGTGCTTCGGACTACATAATAAATGCAAAAATTGCGTCCTCACATCAGATTTGGTGCCAGGGCCGGCGAGTTGAAGAATTAGCATAGTCAATACACGAATCACCGTCGTCGGCATCGGCGACGACAACGCGGGGTGGGGCCGAATGTTAGGGACGTATCATGACGGAATGCACGTTTTTCAAGGTTTTGCTTTACTATAAATTATGCAAATTTATTTTTCAACGCTCGATGCAAATTTTCATACTTCAAAGAATCGGTTTATTCAAGGGCACACAGACGCATAAAATCACGACCGGAACTGGGCGACAATCACCAAAACTTCTAAGCTGCTGAATGTATACTTTGAAAAAAGACGAATTAAATGTACACACGAAGACTAGAAATCGGTTGGAGGGGAACGAGTGGGCGGCGACGAGTTGGGGACGAGCAGTTCGGCGGTTTCGTTCAGGGTCTCGGGGGTGGGCTGCCCGGTGGTGGTGGTTTCGGCCGTTTCTTGGGTTTGCGCGGTTACGACTGGTCGTCCCGAGTTGTCTCCCGTATTCTCCTGGCTGAACGTCACCGAGGAGCTGGCAGCTGGGGCGCCGCGCTGGAAATTGAGAAGTAAACTTAAATGCCTCAAATCCTTGCTAGTTTTCCCCGTTCCCAGAAAATTATTGCTAGTAGCTGATTATTGTTCCCCAATGATCTTTGCTAGCTGTCCCTCGAAAAACCCACCAAACTCGATGTCAAACTTCCGGTTCGCTCCTTCGAGAAGCTGCCCTACAACGGAAGATTTTGTATTTTCGCCAATCCTACCGTATTTGTCCCATCCAGACTGTTCATCGTGCGATCCCGGGAGCTGTCACTTCGGTGGTCCATGCTTTTCGACACGGGTGGACTCGCTAAAACCAGAAGTCTCAAAAAATCCCGAATAACCCCACAATCTCCGGCGGCCCCCGTCACCAGCGTGGCCTCGGTGCGCGTCTGGGTACGGAGGCGTTGGAACTGGAAAAGCGAAGCCTTTCAATCGTCATAATTTGTGAGCTACCGGATTCTGGCGGATGTACACCCGCTTTCTGGAGCGGAACAAGGGATTGGGGTTGTAATACTCGTGGCCTGAAAAGAGAAAGATAAAATTTGGCCTTCTCTCCATCTGACCCTCTCTCTGTCGCTCTCTCTCTCTTCTCGCTCTCGCTTTCTCTGTCTCTAAAAACATCTGGCTCCCTCCTCAGAAAACCGTACTCTGACTCGTCGATGAAGTAATCCAGACAAGCGATGAGCTCTGTGTTTTCCGTTTACTGCTTCCGCTCGCTTTCAGGTAGAAGTCGAGCAGGGCCCTTTGACGTATTTTGCTGAAATTGTCGCATGCAGGGCCAAGAGGTTAAAATTGCCACGAGCCTCAGAGGCTCAAAAAACCTCCAAAAACTGACTCCTCATCCCTCCAGTTGATCAGCGTCACCACCTTCGACTCGCCCCACAGCCAGGCGGCTAGAAAAAAAAGCGGAAGATCGCAATTTATGAGGCTGTGAAAACCTGTAGTCAGCGTCGCGTGTACCAGAATGTAGGGAAGGAGCAGGAAAAGGGTGAATTTCTCGCGGACGTTCCAGCGGAACTTTTGGTTGAACGTGTTCGAGTGCTAAAACTGAAGATAACCCTGAGTAAAAGTGCTAAAGGTGCACAAACTACAAACTACAAAAGCTTAAGGCGAAGGCGAGGCCAAACTTAAGCCGTACCTTATTCGGCCGCAAAAAGCTTCCGCGGTACACGCACGTCGTCCACCCGGGCATCGTCTCCTCCGGATCGTGACGTAGTGGGCATTGTGGAACGCAATTCTGCAGTAATCACATTTTCTTTAGAACCCAAAAACTAACAATACCCCAGCCAAATCCATGGCAAATTGACAGGCCTTGCACACTTTGGCCCCGATCCCCGTGCAGCCGCCCTTGCATTCCGGATGGCAGGGGATACACCGGTTGTCGCCGTCGAGAAAGTGATTCCTGAAACCGAAAAAATAAATAAATAGCGATTAAGGGAATCCAAAACGATTATGCGCTTTGATGCCCAAAAAGCAAAAAGTCTGATGAGAGTGGGATTCGAACCCACGCCTCCGGAGAGACTGGTGCCTTAAACCAGCGCCTTAGACCACTCGGCCATCTCACCACGGGGGGAAGCGGGCGCAGGGGGCCATATCCCCGAGGGGGCGTGGCTTCCCGCTGGGGTGCTGTCAATATTGGCAGCTTGTCAGCGAGCAGGAAAGTTTACGATTTTGCCCAAGCCGATTTCAAAAATGTTGTTAGCCTGATTTTAACATATTAATTCGGTTAATTCGCGATTTCGTATAGTTTGTTAATACATAGTTTACGTCTTATTACATTTAGGAAATACCAAAAGCTAATAATTCCCTCACTTCAAATCACACTCCTCGGGCCGCACGTGATAGTACTCGTAGCATATCTGTCGATCCTCAACATCGGCGTTCGGGGCGGGCGCGTCAAGCCGAGGATAGGCGTAGAGCAGCTCGGTCATGTTGGAGTACGAGGTGTAGCCCTTGGCCAGGTAGTGTGGGTTGGTCAGTGTTCTCTGAATTCAGAAGTTCGGCCTACGTCTCTTTCATACCCATCCACATCGCTTGCACTTGGTCGGCTCGGTGCACGGGATGCAGATGCCCAGCTTCGCGTCGAGGAACGATGAGCTGAAATTTAGGGTTGGAAAGTTGAGCACGAGAGGCTACGACTCGCACTCCTTGACGCAGTAGCCGTTCAAATCCTTGGCGTAGCCGGGCTTGCATCTTCGACATGGCTATAATAAAATGATTTTTTGCCTCTTGAGATAATACGGATTTCTGGGTTTTTCGACCAAAAAGTCGGTTTTTGACAAAAATTTACCATTTTTGAAAATTTTTAAGTTTTTAGATACTTTTTGGTAGTTAAGAGAAAGTTAAACGACGCCCCCCCCGATAATGCCAAATTACCACAGTCCCAAGGGCCCACATGATAAATCGAGTAGCCGCCCTCACAATTCAGCAAGCACCTTGCCGGATCCTGGCAGTACGGCTTCAGCAGTTCCCGATCCGTCCAACCCTCCTTGGTGACCTTGCTGAATTACATTACGTTAAAACCAATGTTGTAGAAACGTAAAAAGCCTAATCGAAAACTCGGAACTCAGCGTACGTCTTGAAATACTCGTCGTAGTCGCGGAAGGTCTGGAAGCTGACCGAAAACGCGCGGCTCGACCATGCCTTGCTGGAGTTGAGGTTGAGCCATTGGCCGCCGAAGTATTCGTATCCAAATCTCTGGAAAAGTGTTGGTTATCGAGCCTAGCCAAATGGTAGCATCAACGCACAGGGCACAACGAGGCAGCGCAGCGTGCTCGTCGCGTGCGCGTCGCATTTTGCACCTACCGGAAACCTGATGATAGAATAATATCCGGCGACGAACCGCGTCTCGTCGAGGTTCTGGCTGGCGAAGCTGATGTCGCAGTAAGCCTGAAAAAGAATTGGCAAGGCTTAAGAAAGCTAGAATACCAATTTTGATTCCGTCTCGACACGTGGGTACGTTCGACAGGCCAGGCAATGTTTGTGCGTTTCGCCGTCTAAAACGCGGCATTCAAAGTCGTAAAAAATCGAATTTTGTAGTATGTAGCTTCTGCCAAAAACGTACAACATCCAAAGCACGCCGGATGGCAGGCGCGGCAGTGGAAGGGATTTGTATTGTGGGCGTAGGTTCCGTGGCTGCAAAAATGAATGTTTCAAGCTGGCTTTCTCTGTCGCTCTCGCGCGCACTCTCTCAGTTTCTCTCGCTCTCCGGCGCTCTCCTTTGCTCTCTCTCTACCTCTCTCCTCTCTCTCTCTCTCTCTCTCTCTCTCTCTCTCTCTCATTCCCAAAAACCCACGGGCAAACATTGTAGCAGGCCTGATATTCCGTCGTATTGCTGAACTTGTCGGTGAAGATGGTGCTGTAGAGACCATCGGCACACTCGATACACCCTTTCCTAAAGAGGGCATACAGAAGGATCCCTCTTCAGCGTACCCATCACACTGCTTACACCACGACGGGCAATCGATGCATCTCTGCGTCGCTTTTTCCAGGTACGTTCCCCTGAATCCGAAAGCCATCTGTGAGGGTACGCTAGGCTACGTTGGGCACAAGATGACACAGGCCCTCTTGAATCGATTGATGACGAGGAGACGGCCGGGCTTGCATTCTTGGCATCGACCGGTGAACTGGAAAAGTTCGATTCAGAGCTTGGTGAAGCCAGATTGACGATACCTTTTGACACCTCAAGCATCCAACCGGGCACTTTTGGCAACGTTCACTTTCGACGAGGGTGTAGTAGCCCCTGAAAAGTTTTACGTCAAAAAACAACGTGCAAAAGTCTACCTGGGGCACTCCAGCTCGGGTGGCAGACACTGCTTATTGTCGTAGGTCGGCGAGAAGCCGGCATTACATCGTTGGCAGTGCTGAAGAAATCACAATTTTGGATTTTTGTAGTTGTCTTCTTTATCAGGCCGCCTCGGCGACACGCAACGCGCAGCACGACGCTTTCACATAGTGCGTCGCGTATCGGGGCGTGCTAGAGGACATTCAACACCCTAGCCACCATACCGAGCCCGGGTTCCGGCACAGCCGACAGTCCTTTGGACACGCATTGTTGCACGTTCCCTCCCAGCTGAATGTTCCACTGGAAAAACAATGTCTGCGGGCCAAAAATTGTCCCACAGTGGGCAGTATTGCCCAGAGTTTCCGCTCAACTCCCGAGCCCATCGGAAACGGCCGATGAAGTAGCGCTTCAGGTCCTCCTTTTTGATGTTCCGCGACAGGCACTTCAACACCAGGCCGTCGCCGTCTCGGTCTATCGTCGTGTTTTTGGCCCTGGAAAATCCCCTTCCCCCCCCCTCTCCCCCCCCCCCCCCCCCCCCCCCCCCCCCTCCCCCCCCCCCCTCTCTCTCTCTCTCTTCTTTCTCCCTCTCTCTCTCTCTCGCTCTCTCTCTCTCTCCCACCCACCGTATCTGAAGATGCTGATATCCCGTCGGACATTCATGACACCCCATCGGGCTAGCCGTTCTGCACGCCTTCGCGTACTGCTTCGTAGGCACCCATCCTGGCGGTGGCTCCAGCGACTCTGACGGATCTTCGAGTCTCGGCAAAATATTGTCGGCTTGCAGATCGGCGACCATATTCTGGCACGTCCACTCGTCTTCCCGGTAGTACACGTAACGTCTCCGGATTCCTCTGGTTTCTCGGATTTTCCGTATTCTCGTGCGGTGGATGAAGAAGTAGTTGAGGGCCCAGCTGAAGAAAAGATTGCAGTATTGGCGGGGAACAAGAAATCTTACAAATTTTTGTAAATTGGGGGCGTTCCATTGTTGAGATGGTGGCATGGATCGAAGGAGTAGGTGAAGGCGAATCTAAAGGTTTCCATACATGAGAGAAAGCGAGGGACAGAGAGCGGGAGCGAGAGAGAGCGGTTAAGAAAGAGAGAGAGAATCCTGAAAATATTGTACTTGGTCTTGCCCTGCTTGATCTCGGGCAGCGGCACCGGTAGCTCTTCGGCATACTGTAGCAATTTTACGTCTTGGGATCCGAAATTTGCATCTTACATGGGAACGAAACATTGGTATTCGATGGAAAATGAGCAGAAATATGAATAGAAAATATGGCCGCATCCAGAAGCCACCGACCGGACGTCAGGGTTACCTCATGACGCTGTGACGATTTTTTCACCAACCAAGTCCTTTATTCCCAAAAATATGCAAATTTAAGACATGTTTTTAGTGTATTTCGTGTCATTCGTCGCAATCCAAAACGAAAAATTTATTCCTATACAAAGTTGCATAAAATCACAAATAGACTCGACGACAATTCCATGACTTCTAAGCTGTTGAATGTATACTTTGAAAAAAACAAAAATTAACTATGTGAGAGAAATACAAACATGGCTAGTGAGTGAGGAGATCAAGTTAGTTGGTCAATTTGTCGAGTGCTTCGGCCTGAGGTCGTCCCGAGTTGTCCTCCGTATTCACCGGGCTCATCGTCGTCGAGGTCAGCCTCTGCAAAACGTAATACTCGCTATCTCTCTCTCTCTCCCCTTCTCTCTCTCTCTCTCTCTCTCTCTCTCTATCTCTCTCTTTCTCTCTTCTCCCTCACTCCCAAAAACCCACCAAACTTGTCGACTTGCTCCCAGTCGTCGCCTCCTTCGACATCGTACACTACACAGTTTCAACCTCTATGAAACACCAGTTATACCGTAATCGACTCCAACGTCCCCAGCGTCGCGGAACGATCCCTGGTGCTGTCGCTGCGGAGGCTGGCCGCTAAATTTCAGCTTTAAGGAGCCTAGAAGACAAAATCTACTATTTTCCGCCCTCGTCGCCATCGTCGCTTCAGTGTGCGTCCGATTTCGAAGACGTTTGAACTGAAAAAATTTGAGCTAAACTTCAAGGAGATCAGTTTTACCGGGTTTTGGCGAACATAGATTTGGCCTCGGGTACGGAGTAGCGGATTCCGATGGTAGGGATCTGCGCCTAGACAAAAATCTCATCTAGGAAGTTAGATATCCCAAAAGTAATTAAGACAATACCGTAACTGTGCGACGACGACATGTTGGGCAACGACGCGCTGGGCTCGACAATGGTGCGTCCGGCGCTCTCGGTGGTGGTGTTGCGTCGGCTGCTGCCTCGGGAGCGGAGGTGGCGTGCAAGCGCGAGGTCGGCCAGCGCTTGCCCTCGGATTTTGCTGCAAATGGTACGCTCGTTCTCTCTCTCTCTCTCTCTCTTTCTCTTTCTCACCTCTCGTCCTGCCAATTGATCAGTGGTCCCGGGCTCGCCTCGCCAAGGTGCCATGAGGCTGAAAATCAGAACTACAGTAGGCTTAATAAGGCGTCTGATACCTCCAGCCAGTGTCCCGTGTATCATAATGTAGGGAAGCAGCAGCATGAGCGTCATCTTGTGCCAAATGTTCCATCGGAAGCGTCGATTGAATGACATTTCCTGGATAGAAGCCATTTTGTTTCAAAGCAGTTTCTACTCGACTGGGGCGCATGTAATTCCCGCGATAGACGCACGTGTTCCACCCGGGCAGCGTCTCTTCCATGTCGGAGCGCGAGCGGCAGCTTCGGACGCAGTACTGTAAATTTGCCAAATCAAAAAAAATCAAAGGGCCACGTACCCCATGAAGATCAACGGCAAAACGACACGCTTTGCACGATCTGGACCCGATTCCCGTGCAGCCGCCCTTGCACTCCGGATGGCACGGGATGCACGTGTTGTTGCCGTCGAGGAAGTGGCTTCTGAACCAGAATAAACAGACTACGCGACTCCATGCCCAAAAAGCAAAAAGTCTGATGAGAGTGGGATTCGAACCCACGCCTCCGGAGAGACTGGTGCCTTAAACCAGCGCCTTAGACCACTCGGCCATCTCACCATGGGGGCATGCGGGCGCAGGGGCCATATCCCCAAAAAGGGGGGGGCGGACTCCCGCTGGGGTGCTGACATTATTGGCATGTGCTGTCGGGTAGGCAACAAAAAAGCCAAACCGGACTGTCGGATCAGAATTTGGATATTGAAAAGTGAAAACTTGCTACCGATGTGCCGGAATCTGCAGACATCGGCTTAAAAAGATCTTAAAAAAAGCTTGGGTGGATTCCTAAAAATTGTCTATATTTCATTACTAGGCAAAATCGCGAAAGTTACCCCCTCCCCCGCAAAGGAGCAAAAACCCGGTTTCCTGAGCATGAGAACGGTACCAAAGTTGCGAAAAAAGCAAAAATAATTGCTTTAAATTTTCGAATCCAGGGACAACCCACTCCAAATCGCAGTGCTGCTGCTCATGGTAGTACTCGTAGCAGATCTGCCTGTCCCCGGCGTCATAATTCGGGTCGAGCTCATCGAGTTTCGGGTAGATGTAGGGGAACTCGGCCATGTCCGCGTACGTTTTGTAGCCCTTGGCCAGGTAGTGAGGGTCGGTCAAGGGTTTCTGATATTCAATTTGGATAAAACGCGATGAAAACCAACCCATCCGCATCTTTTGCATCTTGCTGGCTGGCTGCACGGGACGCACATACCGAGTTTCGCATCCGGAAACGAGCCGCTAGATCGGGAAAACTAGGTGTTTTTGATGGTAGCACAAACTCTTTGCATTGTTTCACGCAGTAGCCGTCCAGATCCTTGAAAGCTCCGGGTTTACACTTTCGGCAGGGCTATAAATTGTGTATTGGGCTGTTAGCGGGGGGATAGGACTGTAGAGCCACGCTAATCAAATACTTAAAATTAGTTTTACTTTCTACACTAATTTTAGGGGTGCAAACGACATTAAAAAAACCATTATAATTGCGAAACCTTCTAACTTTTAGCCAAAAATCGAAATTTTTGAGCATTTTCGAAGAATATTCCAAGGTTATTCTCATACTGCTAAAAAATATATTAAATTGCTATAAAATTGTTAAAACGAAAAGTTAATGCTGTTTTACATGATAAATCGAGTGGCCCGGCTCGCAGTTATCCAAGCAGTCGGGACTGCGGCAGAACGGCTTCCACACGTCCACCACCGACCAGTTCGATTCTCTCTGCCTCCTAAACTTGATTTTTTTCAACTCTGAAAATTCAAAATATACCACTCAAAATACTTGTCCCACTCCCTCCGTTTCCGGAAGCTGATCGAAAAGGCGCGGCCCGACCATCCGCGCGCTTCCGTCAGATTTATCCAGGTGCCGCCGGGCATCGGGACTCCGTATTTCTGCAACAAGGTGTGATTTACTTTTTCAAAACCTTCTTGCACGTTTTTCAAAAATGGCCAAAAAAGCTGACCGGGAATCGGATCACCACATAAAAGCCGGCGACAAATTTTTCGGGCTTCACCGCCGAATCGATCGCCGAAATGTCGCAAAAGGCCTAAAAATCGAGGGTTTTGGTATCCTACCTTATATAATTTGGTCGCGTATCTGTGTGTGTGTGTCCGGCGCCAGGGAGGGCTACTTTGCATAATTCCAAAAAATACAAATTTCCTTATTCTTGCAAGTTGCACGCGCGGCTGTGGTCGGATGAAGGGAGGGGTCCGAAGGATCCAAGCTATCGGAAAGTCAAACTTCTCATGCAAAGGCCCGCGAAGCGGGTTTTGGGCGCTGGTTTGTACATTAATGTGGTGCAACCTTATCCAACAACCCTATCCAACACCCCCAGCCGCGATAATGCAACAGATCCGAAATTTTACGTCTGTCTCCCTCCATACCGATTTAGATTCCGTCTCGATCCGCGCGTACGTTCGGCAGGCCAGGCAGTGTTTGTTCGTTTCGCCATCTGTAGTTTGTACTTTTACGGAACAAGCTACAAAACCCACAACATCCAAAACAGGTCGGATGGCAGACGCGGCAGTGGAACGGGTTGGTGTTGTGAGCGTAGGTTCCGTGACTGGAAAAGATAACTCTCTCGCTCTCGCTCTCGCTCTCTCTCTCTCTCTCTCTCTCTCTCTCTCCTTCTCGAAAAACCTACGGGCACACGCTGTAGCAAGACTGATAGCTGGTGAGGTTGCGGTGGAAGAGGGTACTGTAGAGACCATCGGCACACTCGAGGCATCCTTTCCTAAAGAGGGCCTACAGAAGGGTCCTTCTGCAGCATACCCATCACACTGCTTACACCACGGTGGGCAGGCGATACAGCGTTTCGTATCGTCGTCGAGGTATGTGCTCCTAGAGCTCGAATTTCATGAAAAGGCTGGTTACTTTACTTTGGGCACAGTAAAACGCAGGCCCTCTTGAATCGATTGATGACGAGAAGACGGCCGGGCTTGCATTCTTGGCATCGACCGGTGAACTGGAAAAGTCGACTATAGGCATCAGTATAGGGTTGATTGACTTCCTTGAGGACTGGCCTCTTGGGACGGGGGGGGGGGGTTCCCAGGGAGGGCCTAACTTGCTATTCCCCCCATCTGGCTCAAAAGCTAAGCATGTGCGCTGTCTCTATCTCCCCTCTCTCTCTCTCTTTCTCTCTCTCCCGCTCTCTCTCCCTATAATTTTTCGCGATCACCTTTTGACATCTTTTGCATCCGGCCGGGCACTTCTGACATCGTTCGCCCTCGACGAGTGTGTATAGACCGCTGAAACTCACACATTGTTAACATTCCAACCCTTGAGCCCACCTAGGACATTCCAACTCCGGCTCCAAGCACTGCCTGTTGTCGTACGTCGGCGAGAAGCCACGGGCGCAGCGCTGACACTTCTAAAATAAATCAAGAGTTTCCGGAAAAGCCAGCAACACCCACATCACCCGGATACCGGCAGTAGATGCAATTCGCAGGGCAGGCGCCGGTGCAAACCCCAAACCCATCGCGGAATTTGGAACTAGGAATCGAATTTTGGAGCTTGATGGAGGTACCTTGGACAATACTGCGAATCGACACCAGTAAGCGCGCGGGCCTGGCTGAAGCGCCGAACGAAATAGCTGCGCACGGATTGGACGGTGACGGGACGGGGTCGGCAGGTTAGGGTTAGGCCATCTCCGTCGTCGTCGGGGCCACTTTGGATGCTGAACATCATATTGCGAGAGAGAGAGAGAGAGAGAGAGAGAGAGCGGGATAGCCTTCAAAAGCTCACCGATCCTGCTGATGCTGAAACCCCATCGGACATTCGTTACACCCGAGCGGCGTCCTCGTTTGGCAGGTGTACTCCGCGTGGTCGCTTTGCTTCCAGACGTCAGCGTCGAAATTCACATCCTAATGAACACGTCTTGGGCTACTGTAGTTCAACCCTACATCCGGTATCAGGCCCTGCTGCTGCAGCTTGGTGACCGCATCCTCGCACGACCACTCGTCGTCGCGGTAGTACTCCTTGCTGTCGTTGTGCAGCACCGAGCGGATGGTGGTGCGGTGGTAGAAATGGAACCCGACGCCGCGACTGTAATTCGATCGTTTGACGGATATTGTCGCGGAGTTCGGGGAATTACGAACACCCACAACTGCTTGTACATCTCCGCCGCGCCGAGGTGCTGCTCGCACGGGTCGAGCTCGTAGGTGAAGGTGAAGCTGAACATCGACGCTATCGAGATCAAAACGGAAGAGAAAGAAAGAGAGAGTGTGAGATAGATAGTGAGAGAGAGAGAAAGAGAGAAAGAGAGTGAGAGATATCGAAACCCCCATACTTGGTCTTGCCCTGCTTGATCTCGGACAGCGGCACGGGCAGCTCTTCGGCATACTGAAGCAAAGTCATGTTTTAGGATCCAAAATTTGCATCTTACATTGGAATGGATTCTTCGTATTCGATGTAAAATGAGAAGTAGGATCAGCTTAAATAACGGCCGCATCCAGAAGCCACCCACCGGCCGTCAGCGGATTCTCATCACGAGTGATAGTGTTATTTTTTTGACGTTGCAAATTCTTCGTATGCAAATTTCTCCTTGGTGATCGGGGCAAGAAAAGCCCTAAGCGAGCCGAAAAGCCATTTCAGGACATGTTTATCGGATCAAAGAGGTAGATAATATGGTTGAACAGTACATGAAACGGTTGTTGAATTATAAAGATTAACGGGTTGATCGGGTAGAATACGGCGAGTAGACGTGATAGTGTCGAGTCGATCACCACTCGGTACGGTCCGGAGATCCAGAAACCGGAGGATTTTCGGCCTCATCCATTTGGGCTGCCTGGAAAGAGGAACCTTGATAGGAAGCGAGAGAGAACGAGATAGAGAGGGCGAGAGAAAGAGAGATAGGGGGAAGAGAAAGAAAGCGTGAAAGAGATAAGCCTCAAAAATTTACCATCGTATTCTCCGTAGTCGACGTCGTGCTCTTGGCCCTCGAGCTCTTTGTCGTCGTGCTCTTCGATTTGTTATCGGGCTTTTGTGGCACCTAAGGGTGAAGAAACATATTTCTTAGTAGCATAGAAAGAGCGAAAAAATAAGAAAGAAAAAGAGAGCTAGAGACATAGGGAGAGAGACAGACAGAAAAAGAAACTAGTAAACCCTTACCATCGTATTCTCGCCTGTCGACGTCGTACTTTTCGGGCGTGAGCGTGTCGCCGGCCTCTTCTTGAGTGTGTTTTGAGGCATCTAGAGATGTAACATAATTAAAATCCAGCAAGAAAAACTGACAATCGTATTCTCAGCCGTCGTGGTCGTGCTCTCGTACGGCAGCGAGTAGTTGGGTTTGTCGGCCCTGTCGGGCTTGTTTGGTGGGACCTGAAAAACTTTAGTTTTTCGGTTGAAAAATTATCCATACCGTATCCTCCGTAGTCAGACTCGTGACACGATCCGGGGCAGCGACTTCAACATGTTCACTCTGTTGAGTAAGGCCATCAGCCGTCCCCGTGCCCGTTGTCTGCGTCTCGTTGGTGAACGACTCGGCGTCGCCGGTGCCTTGCCGGCTGTCTTGTGTCGTTGCGGTTTCCACTAAAATTTGAAAATGTTCGGGTTCCGATCAACCCGTACTTGTCGGCCTGGTCGCCGTGATGATGGTCGGGCGCCTGCTGATTGTCTTTTTCAGCCTCATATTCAGCCGGGCTCTGCGGTGCAGCTGAAATTCAAGCAGTTCAAGTTCTCATGGCCAGAAAAGCTACATTTCTCCTGATGATCAGACGAGCCGTGTTGTAACCAAACGCCCGGGGTTGAGCCGAGCTTGAAGTAGAACCTGGAATTCGATCTCGAGGCCAAGGTGCCAAAGCCAACTTGTAATCCTCAAGAGTCCCATCATCGAGGTGAGCAGTGCCGGCTGGTCGTGCGAGCTGCTGCTCTTGCTCTTCGTCTTCCGCATGAACACCCAGAGCTCGAGCTCGGTCCAGGCAGCCTCGCGGATCACACTGGAAAGAGTAGGGTAACGCAACTTTTCGCAAAGCTCTACTCTTCATAGCGCCAGCACAACAGCTCCGCGTCGTCGATCTCGCCGGTGAAGCGAGAGCCTGGAAAATGATTAAAATGTTGCTAAAAAGCAGCTAAGCTACCGTAAACACCCAAGAACTGAATGCCCAGGTAGATGCAGAGGAAAATCGGAGCGACGAGTTGAAGCCACATGTTAAGATCGTAGAAGGCTTTGATAAAGGCGCCTTGCGGGATGTAGCTGGTCTGAGGTTTTCCAATTTTCTTGATGAACTCATCCAACAACCTGTTTGTCCTGCCTCGCGTAGCTGCAAACTTTGTAGCCCGGGATCGGCTCTTCTACGTAGTAATCCTTGGCGCATTTTTGTACACAACGCTGGAAAAGTATTCGGATATTTCCCAGCTCTTTCAAAATGGTCCAACCCCTTCCGGATCTAGAAAATGACGGCATTTGATGCACTGTTCGGCGGCGTCGCCGACACAGCCGAGGCATTCTGGATGACAGGGACGGCAGTAGCCAAGCTGGTCTTCGTAGGAGGTACTAAAAAGTTTAGGTACCTTAATCTATCTCTTTCCCTCATTCTCCCTCTCTCACTCACTCTCTCTCTCTCTCTCTCTGTCTTTCTCCCACTCTCTCGCTCTCTCCACCCACTCCAAATGACAGTCAAATCCGTGCATGTCGTTCTGCCACTCGTAGCACTCTTGGCGAAGATCTTCTTAAAAATTCACTATGCTCAAAAAGCCTCCAAATTCAAGCTACCCTCCTGCATGACCTCCGACTTCCAATACATCGGCCGATTCACGATCTGCGCGTAGTGCTTGGCACCTTCACTCCTGTAGTGCTCCAGCATGTTGGGTTTCTAAAACAAGCCAAAAATCTCTCAATTTTTCCAAAAGCCCGAACACTACCCATCTGCACTTGTTGCACTTGACCGGCTCGTCGCAGGTGATACAGCGTTGGAGGAGGTCGTCACGAAAAGTTCCACTAAATGGCAGTTTTAAGCATCAACTTCAGCACTGTACTTCTTGCACTCGTCGACGCAGTTTCCCCAGAGGTCCTTCACGTAGCCGGGCTCGCATTTGGGGCACGGCTGAAAAACGAGCATCAACTTATGGATTTCGATCTCTCAATGACACCTGAACCTTAAAAATTCCCCACATGAAAAAACGTTTCCGGGATCTTTTCGTGGTAAGTCGGCTTTTGGCAATGATCCAGACAAGTGCTCGCGTTGCACCACGGTGCGTAGGTTTCGGGCAACGGCTTGCTCAGGCCGAGCGAGTTGCTGAACAAATGGTAAGTCCGAATCCGCAGCCATCAAAGGTTTCAATGTTCCTTTAACTGGCCGAACAGGCGACGCGCAAGCACCGATAGAGCCTCTTTATCAAGGCAAGCTCGCTACTTCTTGTAGTAGCTCTCCGTCTCGTTCCAGGTGGCAAACGCCCGGCTGAATATCCCAATCAAGCCCAGATGCCGAATCTTGGTGTGTGACGACTCTATGACGAGCTACAACTTTCGGATTGTATTGTTATCGCCATCAAACCTCTTGACGCTGGCTGAGGCTCATGATGTCCCAGATCAGCCCCGGGGAATCGCTATTTTCCAGCAGCTCAACCTGCCACCGCGACATCGGGAGGCATCGTGGCTGAAAGGAGCCAAGGCTCTGAATGGTGTAAATTCATCTGGGTCTCTCTCGCTATCTGTCAGTCCGACTCTCTCGCTCTCGCTCGCTCTCTCTCTCTCTCTCTCTCTTTCTCTTCAGTTCCACCAACCACTAGCCCTTGGAGGTCGATCTCACTGTTCAGCCAACACGAGAAGCACTCTTGAGATGTGGGACCATCTGTAGAATTCACGATAGCATCATCTGAAGTTTTCTAGGCCCCTACAGCATCCATCACGGCACTCGCCCGCGCAAGGCTCGCATCGAAACGGAAATCGGTTCACAGCGTACGTCATATTCCTGAAAAAAACGTTCCAAATTGCTATGGCTCGGCCAGCCGTATGAACGAGAAAATATTGTCGGTTCAGGCTTTTCCTGATTTCTTTCCATTTTGAAGGGAGCGTGACAATGAAGCTACAGGGTTTCTTCCGGATCTGAAAATTCCTACGGGCACTGGTAGTAGCACTGAACATGGTCTTTCCAGCGATCCGGGCGATAGTTGTAGAGGCCACTTCTGCATTTTTTGCAGCCATTCCTGGAAAATCGAATTGCGATAAGTCAACTCCATGGGCTGAAAAAGCTAAACTGCAAAGCTAGGAGCTGGTCATCTAGTGGAAGCTAAGAGTTCGGAGCTGATACAGATTTCTGTGATCAGCGAGCTTAAGGCTATGAACTAGGAACGGGAGCTGGGAGCTAGGTTGAGCTGAGCAGCAAGATCGGCTCGTGTAAAAACCCAAGCTCCAGCTCCTATCTCAAGTTTCAAAACCTAGCACTAAACTGCAACCTACAAGCTTCAAAGTCTGTAGTAAAACTCACTTATCGCACTCGCGACACCACCCCGGGCACTTGGCGCATTTTTGATCGGTCGCGTCGTAGTAGAAGCCGCTAAAATCGTTTAAAAAATATGGCAAATTTTTTCCGTACTTGTTGCAAAGCTTGGTGCACTTCTGCCGGCGACGCGTCCGGCTCAGGAAGTAGCCGACGTCACACCGCTCGCAGTTGAATTTCTGCTAAAAAATGTTCCAAAAAGTGGCATTTTGCCAACCTTGTCTCCAGCGGTCACCACAGCTCCACACATGGCGCAGTTTGGCAGGAATTTGTCACATCTCAGGCACCGTACTCCGGAAAGCATGGTGCCCCTAAAAATGTGATACTTTCAGCTCGAAGCTCTCAGCTCCTGCCCCCCATTTCTTGCCCAGATGCACACCTCGGACACTCCCTTAGAACGTAGCCGCACAACACGTTGTTATAGTAGGGAAAGAAGCCCTGTCGACATCGGAAGCATTCCTAATGTCATGAGATTTTGCGTCGGGGTTAGAAGCTTACTCCTTGGACCGCACAGAGCTGACAGTTGATCGCACACATGATGCATTGCGTCCCGTCTGCGTTACGGGCTGTTCCCCTGAAAAAGTATCTTTATCTCTCTGTCTCTCTCTCACTCTCTCTGCTCTCTTTCTCTCTCTCTTTCTCTCTCTCGCTCTAATCTAAAAATTCTACCATGGGCAATATCCCTGTCGTGGCACCATTTGCAGTTCCTTCAAATCTGCATAGTTCCGGGGCAGCAACAGATCTTCCGAAATTTTCGACTTTGGCTTGCAAGAGGGTTGTCGAGGGCTGAATTTGGGCAATTTTAGGGCGGAACACAAGACAAAAAGCTTGTATCACGCGTAGATGTCGAGTCCTAGTCTATCACGAAGATAAATCCACACTCATTTAATAAGCTCGTCAATACCTTGTCAACGGATC